TGGCGTCAATTATTCATCACCATCATCTTCTATACATTAAATCCAAGGATATTTTTATTTTATTTTATTTTTGCTTTAAATTTCATGATTTTAATAATAGGTAAATAGATCTTTGACTCTTAACCATCAGTCTTGTTTTAATCTATGAATATATGGTTATAATACATTGATTGAGGTAGATATATGTTAAGAATGGAAGAAATATATAAGATTTAAAGGTTTTTTTTTTTTTTTTGGTAAAAAACCAGTTTTTCATGTGTAAATTTTTTTTCCACATAGTAGCTCAATTTGAAATTTTATAGTCTGATCTTGGATCCACCTTAAATCCATCCCTGATTGCGGTATTTAGAACACATGATTATGCTTATAAAAAAATGTTACATTCTAACTAATTCACTTTCATTTTTGTGAGAGCATGCTAATAACTTGTTTTGAACTAAAAAGAAAGAGAGAAGTTAATAAATTTGTGTGTATTTCATTGAGAACTAAATACATATTTATAGAGAAGAATTAAGATTGCATGACATAAAATGATAAAAATTAGGGCTGAGGAGTATAATTGTTATACACTAATAAGCATATTTTTTACAACATTTTATTCTTTTTATGAAAATTTGACAATTGTAACACAAGTTACATTTCTTAACACTTGTTACAATTTTTTAATTGTTACCAAAGTGTAACACTTATAACAAGTTGTATTACACATTGCCACGGTTAATGATATCTATCACTACCTTCGAAACTTTAAAATTGTAAGACAAATGCGAAATGTTACTCTAGTAAGCTGTCGTCGCCACCACTACATATCTCCAATCACCAGCACCATCATTCATAGGTTCCACCATACACCATCATCACCAACATTAAATCAATCTGTAAACCAAAAGAAAACATTAAAACCATTCAACAAATCCAAAAAATTCAACAAAATCAAATTTTAGAACTGAAAATGTGAATGAATTCTGATAAATTTCACCAATGGGATTCAAAAACCAATACTGCCCCCTTTTTTTTTTGAAAATAAATTTCATTTCAGATATGAAAATTATATATGCGATCCATGGAAAAAGTTTATGGATGACGATAGTAACAAGAGGTGGTGCCATGTATGGAAGGAGAAAGTAGCGGTTACAGTGGTGTTGTCAATTGGGATGGTGATCAAAGTTAATGATGATGGTGGTTGGAGGTGACAACAATGATGATGATTGACAACGGCAGCAATGGTATTGTTAGGGAGGGATAGTGTATTTAGGGTTTGGTATGAATGGACTTTAGGGTTTATTTGATTGACAATCAAGACAATCGAACATATTAAATTGACATTCACTCTTTCCATGTAAATCACATGCTTGCAATTAAACGTATCCTTAATATTTGAGATAAAAAATGAATTTGATTAAGCTTTTGTTTCATGTTGCTATTTAGCATATTTTTAACAAGGGGTAATTAGCATAAAATGCTCATACCTTTCAATATTATTATGCAAAATGTCCGTAATTTTCATTTTTTGAGATTTTCACTCTTGTTTTCATTTTTCATTGTGGAAATCACCATTTTTCATCCATTTTATTCAAATTCTCAATAAAAAAAAATGTAAAAAATAACAAATATACACTCTTATTTAAATAAAATATGAAAAAGAAAAAAATTAAAGAACAAATTGCAATCATACTCTCAAACTTTTTACATGTAAATGAGTCTGAATATATTATTAAAAGAGTAATTAGCACAAAATTTCATACCTTTCAATATTATTATGTCAAACGTCTTTACTTTTCATTTTTTGCATTTTCACTTTTCATTTTGAAGAGAATTATTTTCATCCATTTTCTTAATTAAAAATTGTATAATGATGAATATACCCTTTTATTTAAATAAAACAAAAAGAAAGAAAGAAAGAAAGAAATAACAAATTGCAACTATACTACCAAATTCTTTAAAAAATTACAAATAAATAATTAGAAAAATCACTTTCTTTCCTTCTTTCTCTTCCATCACCACTACCATTCTCCACCACCACCACCACATTTTACTGTCTCAGTCTTTTATCAAATTGAAAAATGATCCAAAGTTAGTGATATGTCTTGGAATCTAAGGCCTAGCCTTCCACTTTTCTCTCCAGAAACGGGTGATTTTTCCACCACGTCGTCGCCTTCACACCCATCAGAATTTCACCCGTCCACTGGCGCCAATACTCCTTCAATCCATCACAACCAAAAAATTACATAAACGGTCAAAAATTCGACTTAAAATCATCCCCCAATATACCAAGAACCGCATGGCTTTTTTTACCAATTCCGGCCATTCCGTCGATACCCACGGTCGTCCACTATTGCCCGTCAATCTACCTCATGGGCATTTCAAAATCAGGTTCATACTTCAATAGGTAAGCATCCCATGGATGAATTGGTATAACGAAGCATTGTGGGCCCACGAATTGTGGCCGAAATTAGATCAATTTGGCTGTTAATTGGGAAAATTAAATTCACAACAACTGTCATGTGATGATGATGAGGATTAACATTGCAAATTATGTGAATCAACACCCTCAAACCTATGAATTGAAAGAGGTACACTGGCCACGTTCTGCGAGCAACAAAAGGGAATTTCAAGTCATACCAACATCATATTGTACCCTTTTTGTGATGTTTCTCCATGAGTATGGGCGGCAAGATGAGGTGAATTGACTAACAACAGTAGATGACTACGGGTATTGACGGAATGGTCAGAATTGGTAGAACTAGTTGGGGCTAATTCTGAGTCGAATTTGTGGCTATTTATGTAATTGTTTCGTTGTTATGAATTGAGGGAATATTGGTGCCAATGGAGGGGTAAAATTCTGGTGGTTTTGGCAGTAGCAACACAGTCAATTTTGGGGGAATCGGAGGCGGCTCCATAGCGAGGCAAAATCATCCCTTTCTAGAAAAAAGGGGAAGGCTAGGTCATGAATACCAGGACATATCAATAAATTTGGATCATTATCAAATTTTATAGAAAATTGAGGCAACAAAAGGTAGTGTAGTGTAGGTGGAAGAAAAAGAAGGAAAGAAAGTGATTTTTGATTTTTTTTAATTTTGATTTTTTAGTTATTTATTTGGAATTTATTTATTACTTTTTTTTTTCCTAAAAAATGGAAGTATATTTGCAATTTGTTCTTTATTTTTCTTTTCTTTTCTTTCCTTTTTGTTTTATTTAAATAGGAGGATATATTCACCATTTCACAAATTTTAATTGAGAAAATAAATGAAAAAGATAATTTCTGCAATGAAATGTGAAAATAAGGTTAAAAATGCAAAATAAAAAATAAAAAAATGGTAATGACGTTTTGTACAATAATATTAAAATGTATGGACGTTTTGTACTAATTATCCTTTTAATAATTTATTTGAGCTCATTTGCACTTTTTCAAAACATTTGGGAGTAAGATTGCAATTTGCAATAATTTTCTTTTCTTTTTTGTTTTATTTATATACGAGGGTATATTTGTCATTTTACATTTTTTCACGAGAAATTGGATAAAAATGAATGAAAATGATGATTTTCATTATAAAAGGTGGAAATAAATGTGAAAATGTCCAAAAAAAAGAAGGTATAAACGT